CCTCCTAATTTAATTACATCGCTGCACGTCCCTTCGCTATGTTTGAACAAATGCTCCAATATCCCTGTCCGTATTCTCGAATGTTCCACAGAATTCGCATATTTTGTACAAACACAAGCCACATTTACAACTTTTTCTAAACCATTTTCTACTACGTGTGCCCTATTTTCAGTCGTCAAACATTGTTCCAGAAGCTTCGCTGAAGAGAATTGTAACTCAGGATTGTTGGTCTCCAAGCAATTCTCCATTAGGATGTCCAGTCCTCCAGATGTTCTTAAGGTATTGCACAAGGAGTATCCGAGTTCGTGGCCGTAGGTAGGAACCGCCCAAGCTCTTCTCATCATTTCGTTCAATTTGTTAAAATGTACTGAGGCATTTTTGATATCTATTTGATTGTTCTTTATAGAGTTTATGAATGCGTTCATTCTGGATGAATACTTTTGTATCGCTAAATCGACGTCCTTTTGGTTTGAGTTCGCGTTCAATTTGTCCAAATCTTCGAATGTTAAATTTGTTAGATCTTCATCGCCGGGTTTGATCGCACCGTTTAGAAGCATCTGAAACGACAATGTACCGGCGTTACAATAAAATTCCGTGTAAATAGCACTTACGTCAGGACACGCGTGTTGTTAGCGTGTTCACACAACTCTTGTTTGATGCTACTGTTATCGTATCATAAAAATTAGCAATTGTAAATTACAAACGGATATCATGGGATTCGTAATAAAACAGTTTTTTTTCTAACATGTTCAATATCTCTCTGAATAGTATTGGTTCTTATCATACACAGTATAAAAGAACATATTTCTAACGTGTTAAGTGCACTCCAATCAACTATGAAATGATTACTTATAAAACATTAATTACCGCGTTTATAGAGCATTTGATAAAGTTATTTTTAAATTTTTTCTCGGACATTTGGGTCAGATTCATAATTATTATGTTATTACAAGTTCGCATTTATCTCTAGCTTGCAAATCACAGTCTCGCGAAGGCCGCGGTCACGGATAAACAACAATTAATTATCTCAAATCACCAATAATTTTACATTGTAGGAATACAGTTATTACGTGTACGTTAATCAATTATGTCGCAACATTTGACTCACCTGTGAGGACAATAGTGTTGACTTAGTGGAGAGGTTCTTGCTAGAGATGGTCATGTTAGAGTGCGCGACGCTGGAGTGCTCCTTGTGGCTGAACATGCCGCTGGAGGTGACAGTCTGGCGCGCCTGCGCCGATGCCATCGCCTTCTTCTCCGCACTGAACGCTTCCGTCTGAAGTCTCGAGCTGGTCGCCGACATATTATTAGCTTCTTGCGCACTCACTTCACCGGCTTTTAACGATCTTTGCTCCTAAAAATACAAAATTTAACATTAAAACCATAGTACAC